AACGCTAGCTGACATAGAATAAGGTTGAAAAAGAGTTAGGTATGGATGGTCAAATAAAAACCTGCCATCAATCTGTGAAGTCTTTGTTGACTGTTGGTATAAGCCAACCATGTAGGGAGACGTAGATTGCTTCATTTGGGTCCTCAGGACAATAAAAATCAATGGGTGGAGGAATATCAGTGATAGGGCTCAAAATTAATCGTTCTCAATGGCGTAAATGCCATTCAGTCTCAACGATCACCCATATCCACCAAACCGTCATGTTTTTCCATGTGTTACTATTCTCTCTAACCCCCCCCCCGCCACATTCCTGTTTATTATCCTTCCTTTGAATCGTATTATTCTTGCTTTCCTCCATTTTTGTGTGGGTATTGGGTGGCGGCTGTGCTATATCTCAAAATGATAAAAGTTGACATTCATGGGATATCGAGTTCGGAACAAGTGGCGTGGATGGTTAACGTCCTCAGCTCATAACCTAACCTAAGTGGACCGATGTGTACTGCTGAGGAGTCCCGACCAAAGACAAAACAGTTATCCAGTGTCATCATTGGCTTTCAATGATTCTTTAAATGTGATGTGTACATGATGGTTTGTTATCAATTCGACAGTGAACTATGATTTTTCTTTTCTTAACGGGATGAATAGTTATCTGCGTGGGTGTATTCACATTTATCATTCATATAAAAGAAGAGGCGTTTAGCGAAGAGTCACCCTTTGATTGGACACTAGGTAGGTACTAAGTAACTAGTGGAATGTGTCCAGTACTTGATATTTACTGCACATTGAATTCTATCAGTCAAGTTTGGAATGTGGCCACACGATTCTAGGTGGCTCACCATCAGAATGCACTAAGAATTTTTGATATTAGATGGTTGGAGGCAATCAGCCACAAGAAGCCCTACCTGACCTAGGTTTCGTGCTGTAAGACGAAACCTTCTGAGATTCGAACCCGTGCGCCACCCAGTGCTGCAGTCAGAGACATTACCACTGAGCAGCAGTCCGGGCTGGCGATTCACCTCCTTCGGTAGGACTGTATTGGATACTTTTGACTGGACACAACTTAGTAACTAGTGTAATGTTTCTAGGCTTCCTGGCGATTGACTCCAACCATCTAATATCAATAACTCAAAGTGCATTGTAATGGCAAGCCACCTAGTGGAATGGTGGCTACATTGCAAACTTGACTAACTGATAGGACTAGATACATTACACTAGTTACTGACTAGTGTCCAATCAAAATTATCCAATACAGTCCCACCAGAGGAGGTCAATCACGAGGCCGAATAGCTCAGCGCTAACGTCTCTGACTGTAAGTAGTAACACTAGGTGACACGGGTTCGAACCTTAGAAGAGACATCAGTTCCTTCAAGGTAGTTGCAGATGCGCCTTGCTGACTGGTGAGTGCCAACAACAAGCACGAAACCTAGGTCAGGTAGGGCTTCCTGTGGTCAATTGCCTCCAACTATCGAATATTAACAATTCGAAAAGTTACTCTTTTCACAGTGATATTATTCTCAGACAGCCTGAACTTCAACTCACTTTCTCTACATAACCAATGATTCGTATGAACGTGAAGGATAAGCTACCACTGTTGACTGACTGGCTCTCTATCAACTTATCTGCTGCTCCTGTGGAGAAGCTAGGTATGTCAATCATACTCAGTGTTAGCAATCCAGACGTCTGACTGGACATTTACTCAGAGGAGAGAAATACATCCTTTTGTAGTTCATTTCCTGAAACACCTTACTGATTCTAGGCACCTAGTGAACTCGCAAACCAACTTAAGAGTCATCTACAGAGTATTGAGGAAATCTTGCTATAAAGGAGTACAAATCAAACTTCTTCAAACCACAGTAGTAGTAGTGGAATTCAATCTAATCGTCAATTATGCTAATCACTATTTTTTTCCTTCACGTTCCCAGTGACATAGGTTCAAGCTAAGGCTTGAAGTTTCTGTAGCAGTGTTTACTTTTACAGGATGAGGTTGCTAACCTTTCCTCTTTACCGGCTTTTTATTACTGGTTTGGCGAGGTAAAGGAGTGCGTCGGCCGGGGATCGAACCCCGGACCATGTGCATGGTCGGCGAGCGTCCTAACCACTGTGCCACCGACGAACCCAAACAGGATGTCGCTGCCACGATACGAACCTGGGTTAGTGCGGCCACAACACAGTGTCCTAACCACTAGACCACAGCGACACTCTATTTACTTATTTAATTTTATTTACGTTTCTACCCGATTAACACTTCCCGCATTACGTAATCGTTGTCTATACAAAACTTAGAATTTTAATGACACATCTTTGGAAGTATCCATTTTGTTGCTAAGGTGATTGTACAATTTGAGAATGATATCGCCGGAGAAAAAGAGTAACTTCTCACTGACCGAACGCCCTTTCTTTTATATAACTTAATAAGGAATTGTTTTTCTTAAGCTGAATTTATCAAACAACCAATCACAAAAGAAAATAATACCTGTCAATACACAAGACATACATATCACTAACACACATCAGGAACCAACGCTTTTGTTACAAGTATGATTACGGATTGTTAGCTTCGAAGCCAGCAGCACCCGATCCAATAATAACGCATGAATTCCAACTTCTACCAATTTGTGATTTTAGCAAGACTGGCACCAGCCAACGATATCCCTAACTAACTCTTGGGAAGTTGCATCAGCCGGCGCCAACGGGTTGATGGCTGACAAAATCTCAGAATGGATACAGAAGGCTAGTTTTTCATATGCCAGTTTACGCCGTCTCTGGCTTAGTAGACGTGATATCCGGCTAGCTGGCTGTCGACCAAAGGGCGTGTGTACTGCTCAGCAGCCCACTTCGTCCACCTTTATGGCTGCCTGTGAGACTTGGTCATTGAGAGTGGAAGACATGAAAAGATCGGCTAGCTGTGTGAGCAATATTGAGGTTAGGCATCGGTCGAGTGCTAGGTAAGAGAGAGGGGAAATCTCAATAGAGGAGGCTGTGAAGCTACATCGACTGAGATGATCAGGACATGTGTTACATTTGCATCTACCATCGCCTTCATCGACATCGGACAATTTCAGCTGACATAGGGCCAGGCTGGAAAAGAGAAGGCTAGTGGTGGTCAAATCAAAACATGGCTTCATCAGTCAATGAAATCCACAACAGTTAGTTTAAGCCAGCCAGTCACGTAGGAAGGTGTAAACTTTCTGATTGGTTGGGGTCCTCGGGACGGTGAAAACCAATGACTGGAAACAATCGGTGATATGGCTGGCTCAAAATCGTTCTCAATGGCTAACGCAGATGCATCCATTCCTTGTGACTTATAATTTCCAATGAAACTATTGTTCTTCGTTATTACTATTCCTTTGTCTCATATCTCTGTCTACTGTCTCTATTATGCATTTCTTCTACTTTCTTCTCTTGCTTTATGTGCTACAAGGAGGGAGTGTGGCGACTTGAACTGCTGCACATCAGTGCAAAGTTCTATGTCGAAAACAAACCGACAGAACTCTTAAAAATTAATCGGATACTCATTTCAGTGACTGGCTACAGAATAGAATAACCTAGAGTTCCAGTGTGAATTCGTGACCAGTGAGAGTTTATCAAAGTTGAGTATGAGGACAAATACTCGCCACCGATGAAATCAGCTAGCGTTTGCGCTGAAAAAAATGTCACGAACTGGTGCGTAGAAGTTGGAATTTATAGACTATTGGATCAGATTCCAGGTTCGAAACCCGGTAAGTGGGTGGGTGGGTGCGTACTGCTCTCTAGCAATCTAGTACTTGGTTTCAATGATTCTCCAAACTGATATCAATCTGTGATCAAGCACTCATATTAACTCTTGTAAATACAGGCTGGCTGCTGGCTGGATTCAACATAGAACTTGCCACCAAAGTGCACCACTTCGAGTTGCCATGTTCCAAATAGCACACAAAGGTAGACAAGAAAATGAGTGAAGAGAATCAATAGAATTTTGACAAGTATAAGAGTGAAAAAGAATGAGTAATGGTAGAAAGGAATATGAAAGATTACAGAGACTGAATACATCTGCGTAAGCCATTGACTACGATTTTCAGCCATGTTACCTATTGTCTCCACCCATTGATTCTTAGGGTCCCGAGGGCAGGCCCCAACCCGGAAGTCTGCATCTTCCTACCTGACTCAGTTTGACTGTCAGGGATTTCATGGATTGATTGATGCCATGTTTTTGTTTGGCCACCACTTACTCTTTTCCAACCTCCACCTACCTATATGCCCGTCGGAGGAGGCGATGGTTAGGCATGCGCAGCACCTGACCTAGCCATCTCAATCTATGTACCTTTATAGCCTCTTCGATTGATTTCCCCTCCTTACCTAGCACTCGACACCTAACCTCAATATTGCTCACCTTATTATACCACTACACGCGGGAGATAGAACGCAGACACCTATGATCAAAGGCAGCTAGTACTAGATTACTAGATAGCGGTACGCTCTGTCTGTCAATACAAGACAGACATTAAAAAGAAATAATAATAATAATAATAATAATAAGCCAATCAGATGATAACTTGAAAAACTTATCTCAACAACACCATCGCCAAAAAAAATGAAATAAAACAATTATACAACTAATGATAAAAATGTAAAATTTCTCTTGAAAAAAATTTATTTCCCACTATTTTAATTTGTATTTTTCAAACAAAACAAATAGAACAAGCGAATGAAAAAAGTTAAAACGACAACAGTAAAATCAACTCAGAATACTCTGAAAAAAGAAGAAGAGGGATGCAGAACCGCACAGAAGAGTAACACTCATCATTCTCGGGATGGCGAAGATGGTGGGGGGTGGGGGGTTAAGGAGGGTTAGACACAAGACCAAGGTGGTTTTGTATGTAGAAGGAAGAAGACTACACTCTTTGGATGTCTCCCCACTCTCTCTCTCTCTCAAAACAGGAACACAGATATGAAAATGACGCCATAACATCACAGACTCTACAGGATAAACACTAGAGGTTAATACTAGACGATGGTTTGTGCGTTTTCGGCGGTATGTATGTATGTATGTGTGGATGTGTGCGTGTATGTGATTGTAAGGACAAACTAGATGAGAAATTTAAAAGTTTTAAAAGAAAAACAAAAACAAAAAAAAGAATCAGTGTTATCGATCTGAACAAGTCAAAAAATCATGCAAACGGATGGATGGATGACTAGTTTCTAAGTGGAAATAAACTGATGACAACGACTGTCACAGACATATTCAAAGACCAGGAATCAACCATTTTTCATAGTAAGCACCAGTCGTCGACACAGTTGAAGGCATAGATGATTTCTTCAATGGCGAGAAAGATTCTTTATTCGATTCAGTAGTAGTAGTAAGCGGAAGAGGCCCATAATGATGATGATTTGATGCCGCATTATCCAACTTGTCATCAATCTCATCAGTGTCAGTTTGCATATTATCATCATCATCATCATTATCACATTTCATCGATTGAGGCATTGGTGCCAACCAACTGTGGAGAGAGGAAAAAATGAATGAATATTATAACAATACTATTTTGGACAGTATAATCATGAAAGTCAATTTGTTAAAATAACTAGGAGAACAATAAGACATCATGTTGGTGCCAGGGTGTGGTAGTAAGGCGGGGACGCGGGGGAGGGGGGTTGAGCTGATGAATTATGCGTAGAATGCTCACTAGACCCAAGCATATTTTTGATTGGACACTAGTCAGTAACTAGTGTAATGTGTCTAGTCCTATCTTCGGTGCAGACTGAATTCCATCAGTCAAGCTTGCAATGTGGCCGCCATGCCACTAGGCGGCTCGCCATCACGGTGCACTGTGAATTGTTGGTATTAGATGGTTGGAGGCAATCGGAAGGAAGCCTTGGATCTAGGTTTCATGCTATTTGGCACTCGTCTGCAACCATGTTGAAGGAATTCATATCCCTTCTGAGATTCGAACCCACGTCACCCAGTGCCGCCTGCATTCAGAGAGGTTACCACTGAGCTATTCAGGCTAGCGATTGACCTCCTGTAGGACTGTATTGGATCTTTTTGATTGGACACAGTGGTAACTTCTCCAACGTGGGTTTGAATTTCAGAAGGGTAAAATGCTCACTAGACTTAAACATATAGTTCCGGTTCTACTCCCAGTTGGTAGTATCAACCGGAGAAAGAAGTCTGGGCGTGGGAGGCTAGGAACTCCACTTGCAAATCCAAAAGGAACGAAAGAAAGGAGATGTTGTCGCTTTTCTTAGAACTCATTTTCATCCGTGCCGTATGCCTGTGCCTCTAGCTGAAACCGTACTCCTTAGATGAGGGAAGGAAGTAACCTATGTCAAATCTCTCCCTTCGATGGTGATTGGTGCTTGTAGCTGTTGCTGTTGGTTGGTTATCTTCATCAGCCACCTTCGTCTTCTCTATGTTCACCTGGAGTCAGTCCTGTCTTCGCTGCCTGCCAGCCACTTCTGCCAGTTTTTGCTTATCGCCTGTAAGTATTCCCAGTTTGTGTGACATTAGACACATATATCATCTGCAAAAACCAGATCTTCTAGAGTTCGCAGTTATCAATATGCTGTATCACTCACTGTGTGTGTATGTGTGTATTATAACAAATAAACTTAACTAAGGTACTCGACCTCAAAGAATATTTCCAACAGTGTTGTAGACCTTTATCAACAACTGTCTTCGCTCTATACTACTGAAGATCAGATGGCCGCCGGAAAGAATCACCAACAAGAAACAATGGGAACAAACAAAACAAGAACAAAACAATCGCCCAACAAATATGCAGGAGAAAGTGGAGATGGATTGGACACTCGCTGAGGAGGCCACTGGGTGACATCGCGCGTCAGGCCCTCGACGCTCGAGTGGAACCCGAAAGGGAAGCAGCGAGTAGGACGTCCAAGGGTGACATGGAGGAGATCGTGTGAAGAGGAATTGAAACAGTATGGACTAACATGGTTGCAGGTGAAAAGTACGGCAAAAGACAGAAGCAAGTGGAGACGTGTAGTTGAAGCCCTATTTTCCACTAGGAACCTAAGGGAGCAATAATCATAATAACAAAGGTACTCTACCACAGTGCCCAAAATCCACCCTTACAACATTCTAGAAGATCTCAACTTCTCAGATAATTTATGTCTAATGTCATACAACCTTGAAAATCTACAAGTGAAAAAATTAAAAAGCAAACACACAGATGAGGTAGCTCAGCCAGGACGGGACTTCAAGTGAGAGAACATAAGAAAAGACAGAAGTGAAGAAGATACCCGACAACGAACAACAATATCAATAACATCAGAATTTCATCATGAACTAATATATCGGTTAGAGAACCACTGGAAAACCACCAGGGAGTACTGTACAGCCGTTTCGTCCTAGCTTGGGACCCTTCATCTGTACGCACCCACCACAAGGGCTTCGAACTCGGGACCTTCTGGTTACAAGCCCATTGGGACCCAATCCAATGGTCAGCCCATGAATTCCAACTTCTGCCAATTCATGATTAGGCACGACCAATAGCGAATGTCATCGTTGGCGAGTATTTCTCCTCACACCCGACCTGCCGTATCCCACTGGTCACGACTTCCGACTAGAACGCAGGTAACTACCTACCTGAATAGCGCCGGTTACAAGCTCGCTAACCTTGTAACCACAAGGTCCTGAGTTCAAACCCCAGCGGGTGCGTACTGTTGAAGAGTCCCGAACTAGTCGGCCGAAACAGCTGGCTGTCCAGTGCTCCCAGATGGTTTTCCAGTCGTCTTCTTCTAACCGATGCCAGTTCATGATGAAATCCTGAAACTAATCAAATCCCTGCAAACCAACACACTTGAATATCAGCATCAACAGGAGACAGCCCCTCTCACTTAATCTGAATAGCATCGTTTCAAAGACAGGCGGCATAAATGAGGATGTTAATGACAGCCAGGATTAAAAGAAAGCAAAACAGACCTTCATCAGTCCACAATCAGCAGCATGAAAATCTACTGTGCTGAATATACGCAACACGGTGTGAAATAAAAGACAGATTCAGCGAAGAAAATTTTCTTTATCGATGAAATCATCTTCAGAGGCTGTATACAGTCGTATTTATATTTACCAAAAATGTATAGTAGTCTATTATTGAGTAATAGGGTGTCTGTGTGTGACATAATTGATATAATTACTCAGAAGTGGCTTTAGAAGTGAAAATTAAAAGTTGTAAATTACGTGGTACTCAACGGAACAAAGATAGAAATTTGATAAGGTTAAAATTGCTATTGAGTGAGAAGAAAGGTAGTAGTTGAGTGTCAATTTAACAAGTGTGAAGAGGGTGTGAAAAAAATAGTGAATTAATTATTAAAGCAAAAGCAAACTCAAAGTAAGATTAAAAATTACAAAAAAGAAAAAAATCAAAATTTTTTAACAGGGAACGATTAGTGAGAAGGTTAAGACCAAGGTAGAATAAGAGACTGGACAAACTTTTTCTGTATACAGAGTTCAGGGTTGTATTGACGAATTGCCAGCGCCTCCGCCATACACAAAAGCCGAAACCTGACGCCCTTTGTACTATTTGGCTTCACTTTGTAGATAATCTTGAAAGACGATTCTGGTGGAGCTACGTGGCCTGAGTTCACCAAATGCTCGAGAATTGAGCTAGTAATTGTCTTACCCTGTCCCTTTGCTAACCATGCCGGATAATGTTCAGAGATGCGTTTGGAAAGCGTGCGCTTTGTGCGGCCAATATAACTAGCTCCACACAAGCAGGTGAATTTATAAACACACATTGAGGTGGCCCAAAGCGGCAGTTTATCCTTCACACATCCGTTGATCATTTGTCGGCTGTAGAAATTGATACGTAGCTCAGCCATAAAGAAGGCTTTCCTCAGTGATCTGCATAAGCGATTCTTTAGGATCTCAGCTGCGGTATCACCTTTAAATTCAACACTCATAAATAGCAGTTTCTTTTAATTTTCACTTCTAAAGCCACTTCTGAGTAATTATTTCAATTATGTCACCCCTTATTACTCAATAATAGACCACTACATATTTTTGTAAGTATAAATACGACTGTATACAGCCTCTGAAGATGATTTCGTCGATAAAGAAAATTTTCTTCGCTGAATCCGTCCTTTATTTTCTTCATGACTCAATGGGTATTTGCGGTGTGAAATGTTAAGTCAGCCAGTTCATCTTATAGATGGTTCAGAGACTTGGCTGTCACGAAATGGATAACATTCCTGACAGCCTATTGCAAACGAGTATCAACAGTTGCCTCTTCGTGAAGGTCAGATAATAACCGTCAGGTCAGAAAGGATAAACAACAAAGAACTCCTGAACGAAAAGAACCAACCAAGAACCTACTAATCAACAATACTGCAGAGGGGGATCTCAAGTGGAACCTGAATGAGAAGCAAGCGGACATGTTGGACATCATTCCGACGGTGACATGGAGGAGATCATGTGATGCGGAGAGGGTAAAATGAGGAATCATTGAGCCAATCAGCTAAAAAGAAAGACTGCACAGAGCAGATTAGAGAGAAATAAAGATGTGCCAATGAAGCCCGCTATACACATTCCACTTGGAACCCAAGGGAATATGTAATAATCACACAAAATATTACATAATACATTACTCACTTTTGTTGCGGCTCATCACAATCTTCTGAGGATGATGATGATGAATTTCTAATCCATTGTTTCATATCTGTATTGGCAATACGTTGTAATTCTGCAACAATTAAAAGTGCAGTACTACTAGTAGTAGTGCGCAGCAGCAGCAGCAGTGGTCGCCGTGGTTGACACTGCTGACGACACTGAAGTAGTCAGCGTAGGCGGCTGTGACACTGGCAATGACGACTGTTCAGTAACGACAACACTATTGACAATAAAAGACGCCTCCTCTTGACTCATTGTTTGATTGTCTTCTTGTTGAGATGCTGAGATATTCATTGACGGCTTGTTAGTTAACGGACATCCTCCACCACCACAACATGTCGGTCCACCAGGTCCCCCTTGACATACTCCATACATTGGACAGAATTGACCCGTGTTGGCAAGTTCAACACTTCGATATTTGTCTGTATCATCTATCTAAATGATGTGGAGAAATTTTCAAAACAAGCAAAAAGGTATCAAAGGATATTTGCCAACAAATAATGACAAGAACGGGATTTTAAAAGATTGTCGTCAGATGGTTGGAGGCAACTGGCAGGAAGCCCTTCCTGACCTAGGTTTCGTGTTTGTCAGTACTTTTGTCAGTCAACAAGGCATATCTTCACAGACGACTCGGTAGGGTCGAGGGAGGGTAGGGTTCAGACTTCTTCTCAAAATCCTCTCTCAAGTGGCCATGCGTTCATAGCCTACCCCTCTGCCAGATAAGTCCTATTCAAACTCCCTTCACACAGAGAGGGTTTACTTCACAAAAGTCTCAAAAGGGGGAATGCGAACGTCTGGAGCTTACAATGAGACTGGTGGATGGGGAGCTGTCTGTCTGTCTGTTTTCAACATAGAACTTTGCACCGATGTGCAGCAGTTCAAGTCGCCACACTCCCTCCTTGTAGCACACAAAGCAAGAGAGGAAAGTAGGAGAAATGCAAAATAGAGACAGTAGACAGGGATATGAGACAAAAGGAATAGTAATAACGAAGAACAATATAGTTTCATTGCGTATTATAAGTCACGAAGAGTGGATGCATCTGCACTATTCATTGAGAACGATTTTGAGAGCCATATCACCAATTGTCTCCAGCCATTGGTGTTTACTGTCCCGAGGACCCCAACCAGTCAGGAAGTCTACACCTTCCTACGTGACTGGCTGGCTTAAACTAACTGTTGTGGATTTCATTGACTGATGAAGCCATGTTTTGGTTTGACCACCACTAGCCTTCTCTTTTCCAGCCTGACCCTATGTCAGCTAACATTGTCCGATGTCGATGAAGGCGATGACTAGGCATGCATACGTAACACATGTCCTAACCATCTCAGTCGATGTAGCTTCACAGCCTCGTCGACTGATTTCCCCTCCTTACCTACTTGCAAAAGTCTGATTCTAAACGTATGGTGTAGTACATGGACTCCAAAATCCTAAAAGAGCATCGAATGGCATATGAACCTGTTTTCGTCACCGGAAACCATGGGAACATAGCTCCTGATGCTCGGCAGGGGGGAAAGGAGTGGCCTCATAAGAAGACAACCATCTCCTTCAATTTGTCCATCCAGACGGAGTATCCGAACTCTTGCACAAACTATGAGATGATAATTTTGTGCGTAGTGTACCAAGTTTCTGTTTTTGATAAATATAAAAGTAACCAGTGTGATGGAATCTGATTGATTGGTTGCTAAATCATCTGATGATTAACGCATACAGAAGAAATCAATATTTGTACAATTTACATTCTGACTGGTTGAAAGATAATCAAGCCAGTCTCTGTCATTTATTATACATAACAGAGTCACACTTGTGGGCACTATCACTCTCTGTTTGTATCTGCCTGGATTCAACACAGAACTTGGCACTGAAGTGCAGCAGTTCGAGTTGACACGTTCCAAATAGCACACACAAAGTAGACAAGAAAATAAGTGAAGAGAATCAATAGAATTTAGATAAGTATAAGAGTGAAACAGAATGAGTAATGGTAGAAAGGAATATGAAAGATTACAGAGACTGACTGAATACATCTGCGTAAGCCATTGACAACGATTTTGAGCCATGTCACCTATTGTCTCCAGCCATTGATTCTTAGAGTCCCGAGGGCAGGCCCCAACCCGGAAGTCTGCATCTCCCTACCTGACTCAGTTTAACTGTCAAGGATTTCATGGATTGATGTCATGTTTTTGTTTGGCCACCGCCTACTCTTTTCCAACCTGCATCTATATCAGCTAGTAATGCCCGTCCGTCGGAGGAGGCGATGGTTAGGCATGCGTAGCACGTCACCTAGCCATCTCAATCTATGTAACTTTATAGCCTCGTCGATTGATTTCCCTTTTTGCCCAACACTCTACGCCTAACGTCAACATTACTTACCTTATTAAATCACCTAACGTGAGAAAGAGATCGTAGACATCTATGATCAAAAACAGTCAACCTTTTCATGTCTTCAACTCGTATTGGCCATGTTTCAGAGCCGTAGAGAAGGACTGCAGAGCAGTACACACGTCCCTTGGCTGATAACCAGATGTCACGCCTACGCCAGAGATGGCGTAAGCAGCTCGAGCTTTTTGGATCCGTGCTAAGATTTCGTCACCAATCAATCAATCCGTTGGTGCTGATACAACTTCCCAAATAGGTGAAGTGGTCAACATGTTCTATAATTTCACTCCCTATCACGAAGCTAGGAGTTGACGTAGTCCAGTCATTCTTGTAGCAGCATCTTACATTTTACAGGGGCGAATCGCATCCCAAACATACGAAGATTGCTGCTCAGCTCAAGGTGTTCAGAAGACTCTGCATTTTGTCAGCATCCTCCCCTAACAGGACCATATCATCTGCATATTCTAAGTCCATAAGACTATTCCCTGGTAACAACAAGTCGATTCCTAAGTCGTTAAGTTCAGTTAACTATCACTATCAGCACTATGACACTCACTGGGTATACGCAAGCACAGATATCTATCCCATCTATCCATCCAGTTGACGAGTTTCAAATAGGACGAACTGCCGCTAGCTATACAACCAACTAGCCAACCAACCAAAGGATATAAAGAGGTTCCACAAAATATGCAGTAACGAATCAGTTAGCCAGTTTAATGAAACCATCACTTACCTGCATATCATCATTTTTATTATTATTATCATTACTGTTTCCACACTGGCTCAGTATTTGCGTATTCATCGAGGCTTCTTCTCCTTCTTTTTCTTCGTGTTTCATCAATGCTGCTGATGTTGCCGGAGTCGCTGATGGCACTGTAGACGACGATGACTGTTGTTTCTTAACTAACCAACGGGATAATTCAATTGGACCAGGTTTGATCAGATGTTCAGGGAAAAGTTCTCTAACAACTGGTTGATGATTATTCACTGATAAACTTGACATTTTTGTATTGATTACAGCTGATGGCATATTGTCTGGTATTAACCAAGAACGATTATTATTCCTTAATGAGAATGATGATGATGACAAAGCAGAAGAATGATGATAATAATCTTCATTATTATGACGAGTATGATTTGTCGACAGACCGGGCATATCTCTTAGTTCAGCCTACATGGGAGGAGGAATACAACACAAAAATTTAAAACAATTAGTTCCCTTTATGAATTTAGATAAAGCAATAAGAAGACGTAATTTGTCTGAATCGTGTTATGTGTATTTGCGCAACACATTTCGAACAATCTGATCACACACACACGGACTTGTCATAGGAATATATATGAAATTAATAAAGAGGTAAGAGGTGAGAAAATAGACACTTAGGTCAAGTTTAAAGGACATATTCAAGGTCAAAGTAACAATGAAGACCACTAAACCAAATAACAGAGGTAATAGTACATCTGCTATGGTGTCAAAACAAAATTTACCAAGGAAGGTTTAGTGTGATGACGAATTGTTGCTTTGATCGCATAAAGGTGGCTTAAACTTTCTAATTGCTAGGGCTTCCACAAACTTTAGGATACGCCCCAAACACGTTTTATAGATAGGTTTAAAAGATCTGTTAACGTCAATTTTATGTCCTGTTTCTATAATATGTTTTGCAATAGAGGAGCTAGGTCTCCTGTTCTCACCATTAATGGGTTCTGAAGATTCCATTTGTTTCTGGAGCCATTTAGGAATATGCTCTGAAGCCCTTACTTGCAGAGATGGATGAGTCCTCCCTATGTATGTGTGTCCACACGTACATTCAAATTGGTAAATACAGTAGGATGTGACGTCATTTTTCTCATGTTCGAAGGGCTTAGATAGATATATTGGCTTAACATTCTCTATTATTATGATATTGGCTGCATTAAAAGTCTTTTTGACAGCAGCGTTCATTCTTTGTCTAGTTATCAAGCTGCTTTGATGCCCCATATAGGGTAGCTTGACGTACACGTATTTCTTAGGGGCAAGTTGGAGAGTGGGTCTTAGTGTTCTGACTACTTTATATCTCCTGATGAACTTGTCTGGATAATTGTTACCAACCAGAGTTTGTGTCAACATTCTTTCTTCCGCATCAAGTGTGTCTTCAGTGCATATTCGTTTGATTCTACTGAAGAGGCACCTTACTAAGTCTCTTTTGTACCGAACAGGGCAGAAACTGTGGTAATTAAGATACTGTCCTGTCCCGTCCAGGTAGGTCTTCTATAAATAGATCTTTTTATTGACCCATCAAGCCGTCGACTAAGCAATATGTCTATGAAAGATAAACAATTATCTTCCTCTTCTACAGATGTAAGTGATATGCTCTTCTGGACTTCATTCATTCGATTTAAAATTGAGGTGGCAGAACAAGACACTTATCACTGATGATTACAATATCATCTACATACTTTCTATAAAGTGGCACATTTTCGATTAAATCCTCCGATAAATTCTCAATGTACGACATATAAATATCTGCTAAAAGGGGCCCTAACACAAAAATCAATAAGAAACATCTTATTTGATTTGAGGTTCAAAGAGGTTACTTCATTCACTTATCTAGGGAGGGAGCATTGTTTCAACTACAGACACGAGGGACGGACGAGGATGTCAAATCGAGAATCAGGAAGGCGAGAAACACATTCATCAACCTGAAACCAATCTGGAAATCTTCGTCACTCAGCATCAACATAATAAAAATTCGGATTTTCAATACAAACGTCAAGTCAGTTCTTCTATACGGATCAGAAACTTGGAGGGTCACAAAGAATATTTCCAACAGCCTGTTGCAGACCTTTATCAACAACTCTCTTCGCTCTGTACTGAAGATCAGATGGCCGGAAAGAATCACCAACAAGAAACTATGGGAACAAACAAAGTAAGAACCAATCGCTCAACAAATATGCAGGAGAAAGTGGAGATGGATTGGACACTCGCTGAAGAGGCCGCTGGGTGACATCGCGCGTCAGGCCAATGCTCGAGTGGAACCCGAAAGGGAAGCGGCGAGTGGGACGTTCAAGGGTGACATGGAGGAGATCGTGTGAAGAGGAATTGAAACAGTATGGATTAACATGGACGCAAGTGAAAAGTACAGCACAAGACAGAAGCAAGTGGAGACGTGTAGTTGAAGCCCTATGTTCCACTAGGAACCCAAGGGAACAATAATAATAAGAAAATAAGAAAAGTAACTGTGAACAAACACTATATCTGATAGCGTATAAAAGAGCTCGTAGAGACTGTCATTGGCATCTACGCCACACTGAGGACGATTTTAAGACATGTCGCTAAAAGTCCCCTAAGGGAATGACTGATTCTTATCACCTCGACAACCTTAACCAGGCAGCCTACAACACTACTTCTTCATACGTCGTTGGTTTAAACCACGAGACGGAGACTTGATGATTTGATTCTATGGTTTTGGCTTAGCTACGCCCTTCTCTTTCAAACTTATTATTCCAATGTCACAGCTAACATTAATTGACAAGGCAGGTGATGGCTTAGAATGTGTAACAGGTGTCTTAGAACAAGACATATAAGCGAACAATATTGTTGTTTTCAATTAGATCTTACTCTAATTTACTTGGATTTACATACAAAAATTCTAACCAATGACGGTGATTTTGTGGATCAAATAATAATAATAATAATGTTGTAAATGTTTTCAACGTAGTTAATAACGATGATTATAATGATAACAAAATATTGATAATAAGGTTTATGCAGGTGGCGATAAGAATAACAAAGGTAGTATTTGTATATATGTGTATATGTAGACAATTCAATAAATAAATAAATTAGGTCAAATCTTAGAAGGCGAAGTGGACAGATAATCAGAGTTTAAATAAATATCATAAAAGTACGAAGGAAATGGAAAATAGGAAAGAGTGGAAGGGTTTTTAATAGAATTCACCTAGGCAAGCAAGGGAGAGACAAAGGTAGAACAAACTTCTTTTGTTGTGTGCAAATACACTAGGATTGTTCTCTCGAATTCCCATAGCTTCGGCTATGTGTAAAAGACGGGTTCTAAATTCCGTTTGAAAGGCTAGATGGAATTCGATAGACAACTTTGAAGGCACTATTTTTGTCCGCTTTCAATCAAATGAACCAAAATAGAGCTTCTTATAGATTTTATTTGACCTTTTCCAAACCAAGAAGCAAGATGCTCATTGGTGTGTTTGTTAAGCTGGGAATATTTAAAGATTTGAAACATGTGTCTTAGCCAACTCAACCGATGCAGCCTCACATTGTCAACGGTCGACTAATCCTCCTTATCTACCTACAAACTCCACGGCTACGCTTGATATCTATGACCAAAGACAGCTAGCCTTTTCGTAGTCTTCCAATTTCAACAGTCACATGTCACAGTCATGATGAAGGATACAGTGAAATGCTGCATATTACATAAGCGTCTTTTGATCGATAATTGGATATCACGTCTAAACAAGAGATGACGTCATTTGGAAAATGAATGCTACACGAACATTTTGTATCTGTGCTGAGAGATTTTGTCAGCTATCTTCATTAGTCCATTAGGGTTGATGCGAATTCCCAAATAAGTGAAGCAGTTAACACATCCAAACCACATCACTCCTTATATCTTTGAACTGGGAGATAATGCGGCTCAATTCTGCAGCATCATCTAGCATCTGACAGAGACGAATCGCATACCTAAAGCATATTAAGTTTTCTGCTCAAAATGTTTTGTCAACATCTTCAGGATTTCATCATGAACTGGCATCGCGTTTAGAGGACCATCGGAAAACAACCTGGAAGTACTGGACATTCAGCTGTTTCGTATTACTGCGGGACTCTTCAACAGTGCGCAGCCACTGGTAGGGTTCGAACTCTGGTTTTTGTGGTAGCGCTATATATTGTCAGCCCATGAATCATTGAATTCCAGCTTGCCTTATAACCAGTAGATCCTGGGTTCGACCCCTTTTAGACTTTATAGATGAGCACTGCTGAAGAGTCCTGAAACCAAAGGTGAAAAAGATTTCAAACGTTTTCTGATTGATACTTTAGTCTGTGACAAAATCTTTATCGAAAATAATGATAATATACACACACACACTAAAAAAGGCAGCAAATATAATAAACGCGCTTACCGGATCACAGAATAACCAATCTTTTAAACTTGACATATTTTGAGATGAATTCGTCAATATATCGAAACTTTCAGAGGGAGATTTATCTATAATAAAAAAAGGAAAAAAGGGAAACAAGATTAGAAGGTGTGAATAACGCAGCCATTGAAGTAATCAGAAGAACAGTCGCAGACACACACACACACACACACAATATGCACACAGTTACATAATAACTTTAGTCGCCCAAATACACATGAATACAAGAGATGATGCGTAAATTATTCTTCGCACCGTAACTTTTAACTATTTTTTTAGAAAGCGGTGTTTAATTGATCTATTTATTGTGTAACTGATCCTTAATTAGTGAGTTTCACAACCGAATCTTATGTCATCACTGCTAACGCCGTTTAAAAAATGACACCAATGTTAAGTCAGTCAGTGTCACAAAAAGCATTTCAATCAGCAGTTGCCACCTTCGCTGGCTCCACATTCAAGATCAAATAGTAGGCCAGAAAAAATTACCAAGAACCGATTGCTCAACATATATGTAGGAGAAAATGGAAAAGGAATTAGCGCACACTGAGGAGATCGTCGAATGACATCGAGCGCCAGGTCTTCGCTCGAGTGGAACCCGAATGGGAAACGACGAGTTGGGCTGTGGGCCGAGGGTGACATGAGGGAGATCGTATGAGGAAGAAATGAAAGACAATGAGTAGTCGTGGGCCCAGATAAAGGCTGTAGAAAATAGGGCGCGGTGGAGATGTGCTGTTGAAGCCTTGCGTCCCACCCGGGACCCAAGGGAACAATAATAATCAGTTAAAGAATAGTGACTCCGGGATGGAGGGGAACACAGACGCACAAATAATCTTGAAACGAGCAACCAGAGAAAATTAGTGGAACTAGATGAAAGATACCATATTCGTTAGACAATGATGAAAGAAATGTAGAAATATTAAACAGGATATGCGGCTAGTTTGGGGTTCAATCGTTCTAAGGTCTTTGATGCGTTCATTACCTCACACACACACACCGCCCTTGGGTCCCTATACTTTAACTTTGCCACATGCACCAAGTAGTATTAAGTCACTAATCTTCATGGAACCATCAGTGCTGAATATTTTGCCTTACAACTTCCTTTTCTCTGCTATTTCCTTTTTCAGTAGTGATTACAAAGAAAATGTGAACACCCATCATATACTACTGATTGACTGAGACAAGTAGTTGAAGACTACTCACATCGACGATCAGTAGTGCTTATTGACCAATAAGATCGAAGTGATGTAATCATCGAATGACCATTTTTCGTCGTTTTACACTAAGCTTATCAACAGTGTACCTTATTTGACTCAGCCAAATGAAGTTGAATCATCAGTCCAAAAACACTCGAATTCTGGTTAGCTGCTGGAGAGAGCCGGTAGTACGTATGTGTATATACACATAGACTCAAATTTGCTATTCTTCAAATTGTACCGTTTGAAGTAAAAGTTCATCACCACTGTACCCCATGACCAAATAACAAATATATCATCAATTTCACAGCCATTATAAGTAATTAGAATTTAATTGGTGGATGGTAACTAGGAGTGGAATCCACCAGAATAACGCGCATTTCGTCCTATCTGGGACTCGTCAGTTAACTGGATGTATCTGCATTCCCCAGTCAGTAAGTGATGATGTTCCCACCGCCGAGGCTCCAACCCAGTGCCCATAGTTTCATCAAATGCCAAAGCGTAATCCACTAGACCACTTGGACCACAAGATCCAACCACCTCTTGTGCAACGAACGGGTCATATTAATTATTTAATTGAATTTTAGATTTTCCCTTCCATTGATTGGACCGAAGTGCTCGGTCTCAGGTTGACATGTCTGTCGGCTTCTTGTGCAGATGCTTCGACACGATGTCTGGGCATGTAATTAGAAGTTAATTAGTTGGTGTGGATGGTGACTAGCAGTGGAATCCAGGATGCACATCGAAATGACGAGTCCCGAATAGGACGAAATGCACGTTATCCTGGATTCCACTGCTAGTCACTATCCACACCAACAAATTAACTTCTGCTTACATTCCCAGACATGGTCGAACCATCTTCACAGGAAGCCGACATGTCAACCTGAAACCGAGCACTTCGGTCCAATCAATCGACGGGAAAATCTTAAATTATAAGTAATTGTGTTAATTAATACGCAATGGAAAACTCAATGAAGCCTTTGAAGTGAATAATACAGAAGTAATACAAGGCTGACACCCCATGTGTCAGGCAACTACTTCGCCACTACCAAGGGGTGCCGCCAACAATTATACATCTCACCCAACAGTTGTACGACGATGCTGCGTGCCAAGTAATCCACAACGGGAAACTCACGGAATAATTCGAGGTGAAGAAGGGAGTAAGACAAGCTCGCTGGCTGTCTCCTATCTCCAATGATTATCCTGATTGCGGTAGACTGGATAATGTGACAGATAGTTAGCGGGCAACCAGGAAAAAGGCATAAAACGGACCCATACAAAAAACTTGAAGGCTCTGGACTTCACCGAAGATATATGTCTAATTTCCCACAAACTGGAAGATATGCATATAAGTATAAAACTTGGGCACTGTGGTAGAGTGTAACTCCATTTTGGATAAGATTTTATTTCGATAAATCACGCAGTGTTACACAGAAATATAAAGTTGTGTGAGTAACTTGATATGATTATGAGCAATAATTTGTGCTTGAAACGTCATCAGTTAATAATACTGTGTAACACCATGTGATTTATCAAAATAAAATCTTATCCATAATGGAAGATATGCAAATGAAAAGCAACAAGTTGGCGATAGAAGAAGAATCAAACAGGACTTCCTTCAGGTGAACATAGAGAAGACAGAGGTGATGAAGATTTCTGACCAACAGCAACAATAACAGATAAAATTAGCAAAAATGGGAGAAATCTGAAAGAAACAACCTCCTCTACCTACCTGGGAAGCATCGTTTCAACTACAGGCGGACGGAACTGACGAGGATATCAAGGCGAGGATAGGGAAAGCAAGGCAAGCTTTCGTTACTCTTAAGTCTGTATGGAGATCAGCAGCAATCAGAATGAAAATGAAAATCAGATCCGGATTTTCAACCCCAATATGAATTCAGTGCTACTTACTATACGCACGGATTAGAAACTTGGTGCGTCATGAAGAACACTTTGAACAAACTACACACTTACATCAACAGCTGTCTTTGCCCAATACTACTCAAGATCAGATGGCCAGAAAGGATCAACAGAGATCTCTGGGAGCAAACCAACCAGGAACCAATTGTCCAACAAATATGCAGGAAGAAATGGAGGTGGATTGTCCATACTCTGAGGAAACCCGAACGGGAAGTGGCAAATTGTATGCTAGTGTGAGGGTGACATGGAGGTCACGTGAAGAGGTGATGAAAGGATGTAGGCAGACTTGGAGCCAGGTGAAAACGTTGGCGGAGAACCGAACGCAATGGAGACGTTGGGCTGAAGCCTTATGTTCCTCTAGGAACTAAAGGAAGTAATAATAATAATAATACAAGGCTGACTACTATCCCCCACGATGACATTTTTGACTCAAGGTGGACTGAATCATGCAACAGACTGCGGGGAGCGAGAAGACAGGAATACATTGGACGGACAAAAACAATCTAGAAGATAAAAGACATCACATATGATGTAAGTCTAATGTCACACAAACTCGAAGACATACAAGCGAAAACTAACGATTTCGCATAAGAGGTTGACAGCGACGAGAGGACTTCAAGTGAACATAGAGAAGAGACACAACAAGCACTAATCACTATCAACTGAAGAAATTTGAAAGAGATTACTTACTTCACCTATCTACGAAATATCCTTTCAACTATAGGCGACAGCACGGATGATGAGATCGAAACCGGCCAGGATCAGAAAGGTAAGAGACATACCTTGATTACTTCTCGGTCAGTATGAAAGTCTATTGCACTCTGTATAAGGAACAAGACACGGATTTTCAACACTACTGTCAAGTCAGTCAATGCTTTTGTATTATTCAGAGACAACATAGCGCGCTCACTTCACCAAAAGGATTTTTAACAGCCTGTTGCACACCTTTTCTTCAACAGATGCCTTCAGAAAGGATACGAAGAGAAGGGAATGCAGACGGATTGGAGATATGCTGAGGAGATTGTTGAATAACATAGGACGCCGGGTAGGCCTTCGAGTGGAACCTGAATGGCAAACAAGCAACGAGTTGATCGTCGCTCCAAGGGTGATATGGAGGAGGTCGTGTAACAAAGAGGAGGAAATTAAAGCTGCGCTTATGGTCAACTGTGGGCCCAGCTTTTAAAAAGTAAGAGACATGATGGTGAAGCCATATGTTCCACTCGGGACTCAAGGGAACAATAATAATAATAACAATAATAATATAACCATCAAAACAAGGTACAGCAATCTGAAGGTTTTAAACGAAGTGATATCTAAAAATGATTATTCGATGTAAATGCAATACAGGTACAACAATTCAAAATGTAAAGTTTTATCATTACCATTATTATTACTGTCAATTACTATAACAATTACAGAGCGAAATGTAACTTGAGGTACAATAAAGCTTTTTCAGGATGACAGTAGGAAAAAGAAAGACAGGTGGAGGAATGGAGATTGACAACAAAAGTGACATAATGTTACTAATATTTCAAGAAATATAAAGAGTTGAACTTATTATTATTAATTATTATTCAAAAACACAAACTTCGTAACTTGTGGACACCTTTGGGTTTTGAGTAGAACCTACGGGGGGGGGGGCTTCACAAACACACCAGCACTTCATCCCATTCTCTGAAGCCTTTTTCAAATGATTACATAATCGATTATAAGTTATCATTTCCTCCTCCACCTCCCCCTCACACAACCTAATCCGTGTCACTCTCAGATCCACCACACCCAGCGCGTAGCTCTCTTCCCCATCAGGTCCCGCTCGAGAGGTTGGAGTGTGATGTCACTCACAATTGTCTACTACTCAGCGCATATTTGGAAAATATCTCCATCTCCATTACGGATAAGATTTCATTTTGATAGACTGTCACACACAGTGTTGTGTTATACAGTAATATTAACTG